GTAATTGCTTTGATAACGGTATTAGACACCGCCTCCACAAGTCTGGCTGTGCATTTTGGCTCAGTCGGCGCGATGTCGTGATTTACAGGCACATTCGCCAGTTTTACTACTTTTCCCACTTGACGCTAGTAAATTAGCGGCCACGCCAAAGTTCGGTCATCTCATAATAATATTAATTTATTTACTTCACACTTAGAATTTGACAAATTGCAGCGGCATTTTATTGGCATTTAAAAATGTTATGATCCTCTATGCAGTAAAAACTGCACACGACGACGAGGTTATTAAAAAAAAACTACAAAGAAAATTATGAAAATAATGTATTTTAAAAGCGCTCGAAGGTGAGCAACAGGTGCGTTGACGCGCCAAGCTGCTCGACTTGCGGCGCTTTCGTCAATTTTTAACTAAATTTTGGAGACATCATTTTCGCTGGCGCTGGCGCTGGCGAAATGTTTAAATTTAGCGATTTCCTGCAAAGCTCGCCATTACTTGGCACATACCTGTTGAAGAGACGGTAATTTTTAAGTGTCAGCACCTAAATTGTGTGAGCATTTTTTAATGACAGCAGCCTGTCAAATGGATGGCATTTCTGTGTTTGCCAACGCCTTTGATTTTGACACAAAGTTGGCTAAAAATTTGGTTTCAATTTCACAAATTCCGGCAATTAGCTAACAAAAATTGTACCACGTGGAAGCTTTGAGCTTTCAAGGTCGTCTCATGACAAATAGCCTAAATTGAAAAACAAATAATGTTTAAGAAGTGTGACGTATTTGTAGAAACATACATGCAGTGTAGGAATTCGAAGTGCTCTAGATAATAATATGCACGAACTCCAAAAATTTAATTTCGAAATCAAATGTTTAGTGTCATGTGTCACCTGTAGGGACCGCCGATATCGGACGACTATAGCTTATAACTGTCATACAAACTGGACGGTCAAAATCAAGTTCTTGTATGCAAACTTTTTTATTTGACAAGATATCTTTATTATCATATATTTGGCACAGATTATTCTCAAAGGTAACGCTACAATATCATAAAGCTGTCATATAAACTGACCGGTCAAAACCAAGATCAAGAGCTTTTTATACCCTTTTATGCAACTGTAAAGGGTATTATAGCTTCAGTGTGGACAAAGTTGTCTGGTTTATTAATTATTTTGAATTGAATTCTTTATATTTTCATTGTACAAAACTATTTCGATGTATATTTCTGTAAACTACAAGCACATATATGTATGTATGTACATAAATAAATATGTAATTGCACAAATTCCATTATTTCGAAAGAAAGTGAAAATAATTCCTTCCCTGTGGTACAACGAACTCTTGATGACGCCAAGCGCTCACACACTCACACATACAAACGCATTCCAGCATGTTGCCACAACAAACAGTTGCATTCATTCACTCAACGTTCAAAGCTTAAACGGCTGCTCCAATCATAAATACAATAACAATGACAACAACAATGTGCGCACAATTGCCACAGCCATAATAACGATTGTAATTGTAAACGTTGCACTTCAAATGCAATCAACGACCCAGCAGCATTGGCAACAACAACAACACCGAGTATAAAAATGAAAACGAACACAACAAAAAAGCGTTTTATAGTAAACTGCCCAAGCTTGGGATAGCGTTACAGCAACAACATTGCGGTTATCACTGTTGCATGGAGGTTGAAGAAGAAAGCGCCGACAACAAACACACACACAAATGTACGGCATGACAACAATAGCAATAACACTGACACGCAATTAACAACACAAGCTCTCGATGCTTGCTCCCAAAAGGTATCAACATGTTTTTTGCTTCAATATTGTTGATTGCTGAACATTTTGATTTCTTATTTTTCGATGATTATTGCTGCTGTCGTGAAACACACATGTGTCTGTAACTATTCAACAACAACAACACTAATAAATAAATGCCTCTACTATGAGCTATGTGCGTGTGTGTTGTTGTTGTGGCCAGCAGTCATCAGCCTCCACTACGCACGTTGATCAATAAATTGTGACTGCGGTTGTTGTTGCTGCCTGTCTGCCAGCCTGCCAACGGTTAATTGAGGTAAATTAAGGTAAACTATCAAATGACAATGGCAACAACTAACAAAAACATACACGAGTGGGAATGGAACATTTTACGAAGGCTTGCAACAGAGATGTGGCACAATGGGAGGGGCTGTGTGTTTGTATACGGCACCGAAAGCTACAAGATAGCACGCGAATTGTTTGTGTCATTTGGAAGAGTGGCAATCGGTTTAAGAAATGCATTTGTTAGTGTCTCTGCAGTCAAAAAAACACACACACACATACGTGGCGGTGAGGACACAATTGCCTTCCATCGCACTTTTAATAAAACTTTAACGAAATTAATTTCTTTTAATAGCCACAAAGCAGCATCTTAATGAGATCGAAGTGATAAGACCTCGTAAAAAATAACACAAGCTGTACAAATATTACGCTCGCAGCTGCGTTGCGTCAAGCGCACTTGCAAGTTGCAACAAAATTCCGCTCCGCGTTACCTACATACAAGGCGACGACACTACAGCTCGTTACGTGAAGTACTCGCTTTAATTGAAATTAATGCAGCATATGTACCTACTCAGCAGCACACACACAAACACATATGCCACAAGTTGCTCCGCTTAAATGCTCCCGCTTTATTCGTGGGATTCAAGCTCCATTTCTAGCGCTCGAAACTCCATTTTGTGCACCATTTTGACTTTTACTACTTTTTACGGATATCTTGCTCTCCGTTTTATGTTATCGTTGTTTTTGTTGTTGTCGTCTGATTGCTGGTGTCACTTTTAACTAGTTAACCGTCATTGTGTGGCGTTTCGCTGTTGGTTTCTTTGTGCTCACTCACTCATACTCATRCCAGTGCAATTGGTCACGCACACATCCATCGTAGCTCTGCATCTCTCTCTCACTCGCCCCAACCCCAAAGCCGCGCTGCTCTGCTCTTGAACAATTCGCTTACCTACGCTCAAGCAAACAACAAAAGGTACACTGACTCACTGTGATTTGTTGGCTTCTGCTCGCCGCTCAGCAGTGTTGGGGAAAAGAAAATAAAAAATTTACAGAATTTGGATTATTTGACGAGAAAGCGTAGAGAATGAGTAAAATGATATTTTTATTAAATTTCATATTTTTTGATATCAGTCGATAAAATTGAATATATTTTATTTCTAAATTGATTACTATTTTCGAAAAAATTGGTATTTTGTTTTAGAACTCACAAGTTTGTCGTTCTTGTACGAAAAACGCAGCTTCATTAGGTAGAAAAAGTATCGAGGTTCTGGAACTTAAGACCTGAACTCTCTGCTCTTGCCTCTGCTTTTAGCATTGCCTTCAAAAGCCATGCTATTGCTATTATTACTTTTTTATCTTTAAATTTTTTCCTCTATTAATTTCGCCCTGTACGAATACGAGTTCTCAGCTCACGTTTGCTTTGGCAGCAACCAGAAATTTCTTGCTTTTAAGTACTTTGTCTGTGTATCGCACTGTCTTGCCTGATTGTTGGTGGTTGTTATTCACATGCTTGTTGTTATTTGTGTGCATGGCTGACTTGGTGTGTAGCTTGAGACCTGGAGCGGAGACCTGACGATGAGATCATCAACATGCTTATTTACCAGCGTAAAAAACAAGTGTTATGTGAACCTTTCATATACCACACATACATACATACATATGTATGTGCCTTTCAGAAACACATTAATGCACAAGTGTTAATACATGTAGATATGTATGTGTGTATTTCTCCGTGTTTATGTATGGTCGCTCACATAATGGCTTGCTGGGCTATATAATTATAGCTTCGTGCAACAGTTGGGCTATAGGCACACAACTAATTTATACATATGTACGTATGTACACGAAGATTCACTTGGCACTCAAGCATGAAATACAGAAAGAGTTGATCTCGCGCCATCCCTGACTCTTGTGCGCATAAAACTGATAAGTTTTCGTTTGAAGCGAAGTGCAAAGTGCATTGCCTCCGCTGATTATTGCACTAAGAATGCCCGCATTTATGCATGTAACACACATGTGAGAGTATATATTGTTAGCTTTTGGTTTATTTTCATGGAAAAATTGCGAAAAATCAAATGAAAGCGATAAAAACAAAGGTCGAATTCTGTGGTTTGCAAAAATCTTTAAAGGCGAGCTTGCTTATTTTTAAACTTATTTTTTCCCATAATCTGCCCCCACTTAGGTAAAACCGCTGAAATTCCAGTTAAACGTCTCCACGCACACACTCACATATTTTTTTTTATTCCAAAATCCATCAACTTTTTAACTCGTTACCAAGCGTTTGTGTGGCATTTTCGCTTCAACGTTCGCTCTCCGACTCAATCTCATTGGCCGCTTATCTGCTGGTACAAACCCGCCACAACACACACACATACACCGGTACATTCGACTGGTGTCGGCTACAAATTCGTTTAATGACTTATCGCTTGAAAAATATCTTTTACACTTAATTTGCTTTTATTAATTATTTTTTCGTTTGTAGTCGTTTCCAAGTCGCACAGACCTTCGCAGTTCATTCGTGTGTTTTTTGTTTACCACTTTTTGTATGTTACTCACTTCTCTTGGTTCGCTAACGGTCGCTGAATTCGTGGTGGCTCAAAATGAGGTACGAGCTCACCAAACAACCGAACGAAGAAGGTAAACGAAACAAAAACACGATACATGGGAATTAAAATGGCGTTCGGTTGAATTTTTGGTGTTGTGAGCTTAGCTTGAATATCTACAATAAGACTTTGGGTGGAATTCTTTTTATTAATATATGGTATGTATGTGGAGGCAAATTTCTAAAGAATGAGTCAATGCTGATTATTTACTACAAAATACATAAAAAAATATAAATTCTTATTAAATAAAAAAATTAAAATACTGAACATACTTTTTAATTACTAATACCTTTAACCATAGCGATTTTTAATTTAATTAGTTATAGTTCTAACATTTCTTTATATTTCTTTATTCATTGCAGTTCCCTCATTGGCATCCAGTTTACACCATCCACACCACCAAAACAGTTCGAAGAGCAGCAGTAACGCTGAGGAGGAGAACACCTCCATGCCGGGGCCGATTTCACCACACACAGATTTTATGGTGAAATGCCCACAATGCCCCAAACGACTAGGGTTTCAGGTAAGTTATTTACACGAAAAGAACTTCAGCAAAGAATATATGCAAGTTGTTCCAACATTTATACGTTTTTGAAGAACGAGGAATGTACCGCGACCTTAGGGCTATTATGGTGCTCTTATGTATATTATTTACCAACTAATTAACACCTTCAATCTCTTCCTTTACTTGCAGTCTCTGAGCGAACACATCGCCTGCGAACATCCACATGAAACACTTAATTCTGAACATGTTCCATCCAGTCTTGCCTACCACCACCGCAACCACCACCATCAGCTACACAACCATCAACAGCACCTTCACCAACTCCAACAATCCTACGCACAAGATAGCATCGTCGATATTGATGATGATAACGAGGATAACGACGACAACAGCAGTAACAGCAATAGCAACAGTAGCAATATAAAGTTTACAAATTCACCAAACCAATATAGTAATAACAACAACGATAGCAATATTAAAAATAATAACAATAGTATTAAAAATATTGAATACGAGCGTCGTTCACCGGCAACACCGGGCGCTACCAACACCGCGCACAACAGCGCCAACTCACCCAAAACTAAGCCAAGCAAACAACAACAACAGCAAACGAATATGATACCAAATGTCACACCCACCGTCTCGCCCACACCACCGAACGATCTCAGCGCTGCCACGTCGCCATTCGCCGCAGCTGCGGCCGCCGCAGCAGCAGCAGCAGCCGCTGCACAACACCAACTACCGCCTTTACCGCCACATCTAACACATCCACATGGCATGCATCCTCATCTGCCGGCTGCGGCGCAACTGATGGCCGCCATGGCCGCGATGCAAGCGCAACAGCAAAATGGTGCGAACAACGGCATGCATAACGGCAGTATAGGAACTGGTGGCGGTGGCGGTGGCGTCGTTGTGGCATCCAACCCGTCTGCACGCACCTCACCCACCAGCCAGTTGCTGGCCTTGGCCAACAACGGTCATCATGCGGCGGCGCATGCGCTGGCGGCCAGCCACAACGGCGGCGGTGGCGGTAGCGTCTACGACATGGACGCGGCGCGCTCAACCTCAAGCCCCGGTTCGATTGGCGGCAGCGAAATGGGCGCCTACCACTGCGTACAATGCCCGGCGACATTCCAGACGCGCGAACAGCTAGAGAAGCACGAGGTGCTGCATTCGCCCAGTGCGCAGACGCAAACGTCAAACCAAGTGAGTACAAACTAATTCTTTTTATAGGTATGTATGTATGTAGGTAAGCCAGTAAGACTTGAACTTTCAAAGCCGCCATTTTAACTTTGTTTTGGCATCGAAGCAGTATTTCACAAAGCAAKTATGATGTATGTATGTACATATGTGTACGTAGCAAGTGAAACAAAGAAGCGCCTTTGTCTCACATGCAATCATTGGTACCTAACTAATGAGTAGCGGGAAAAAGAAAAAATATGTAGTATATGTGCAAGATACTTCCAAGTAAACCTTAACAACGTAGGCATAAATTGCCACTTGAAGACGGCATCAGAAAGTCAAATGTGAAAGACTGATTTTGATTGAAGTTGTGCTTGATGGCGCAGTGAAATGCCATGCGGCACGGTTGGTGTAGATGAAGCAAGGAAGAGTGAAGTAAATCATTTTAGAAGGAACAGACTCTGGGAATGATATTCTATATATGTATGTATACACATACCTATGTATACATATGTCTAGATAAATTTTACATAAGTGTGTATATACATGCATACATACATATGTATGTTTTTTCTTTAATTTTTTTTGGATAAAATTTTTTCTTTTTTAAACCTTAAAAGATAATGAGTTCACCAAAAACGAAGACAGTAACGAAAGAAACCTTGTAGAGACATTACAACACTGTTCGAGTAAATAATCATACATATACATGCAAACACTTCACTACTACTATATACACTGTACTAGATACTACGAAGTCTAAAAGATAGGCGTAAACAAATACGCAATAAAAAAATAATATATTACAAAAACAAGAAAAAGAAAACAGTAAAGTACTAAAATACAAACCGACTGCGCTGTCTACACAGACCGATGCATGTGGAATAAATATGTATATACTCAACGATGCTTGTTAGTTGGTACCTACAGTCAGGTCACCATTTCGCCAGCACCGTACAAAGTCTAAAGCGGTGATTGGAGCTGTGCGCCTCATGTTTTTGCTGTAGTTGTGGTTGGAAACTGCCAACGAGTATCATACCGCGAGTAATCTCCACTTGTTCCGCTCGCTACTTCGAGCCTATCAGCAATTGTCTTACCGTCGGATGCCTGCTGGCTGCCGCACTAGTTGTGCGCTTAGTTGCCTATTGTTATTGTAGATATTGTAGTTGTTTTTTACTTCTTATCTAACACTCAGACACAGTCATAACTCTCGATTGTTTATTGTGCGATACAATGCGTAGCAATAGTTGGCGATAAGCGCACGGCAGCGGCAGCGGCAGGGGAAAATATGAAATATAAGTCGCTTGTTTAGTGAAAGACATCACACACACATGCACCCAAGCTCGTTTTATGTATGGCTGACGATAAGGCATGAAATGGCTGTATTTCAACATAATGATAAGCGAATTAATGAAAAAACATACATGAAAGATACGCCCACTGCGGCTGGCTATAAAAGTGAGCAGCAAAGTGGAAAACAAATATCCGAAGCACAGATACGAGTATATACTCCGTAGAGACATGCACATGCACATGCACGCACCTAACAATCGCCCCTGTGTTGCTGATAAGTAAGGTGGCACAGGCGTTCTCCTTGCGATGTTGACGCTGCGCTCTTATCATAAACTCGGAACTTTTCTACGAACTAAGCCTACTTGGCCTCGAGTTATTGCGTTTTACCGCCACTCACAGACATTATTATCGCCCGCTATGATCATAAATTATGATTTGATGTTTTGGCTTCCAACATTTTTTCGTTTAATAAAACCTGTCTAAAAGTGCTGTAAGCAGTAAAAAAAAAAAAGCACATAAAGTGGGAAAATGCACATGTGTGCTGTGTGTGGCATGTGTGACGCACAACCCACAAAGCACACCCTCACAAAAGCGCCAGTAACGCCTGTGGCTCGCACCACCACCCTCGCGAAATCGGTCATTTTTTCTCATTACGTCGCGCCGTGTGCGCGGCAAAGCTTGAGGTGAGCATTTGCTAAACAAACTAATATGCAGTTCTATGCGAAAAGGCAGCAAACACGCCCGAACGCAAAGACCGTATCTTTAATAACCGTTTTTTGTCTGCGATGTTTTGGCGATCCATCTCTTTTGGCACACCCCACTCCCTGGAGCATACTCGCACATTTGACGTTTGACCAATAATGTCATCTGTAACGGCATTCGGACAGACATATATACATACACATTTGCAGTAATGCTGTACTGCTGCCGGGATAGTGCGCCCGAAAGCAAACTAATATGCCGTGCGCATAAGCGTGAAAAATACTCATATTGCTATAAGTATCCTCCTCATGCTGCGCACACACACAATTGCCTGTGAGGTTCCTTGTTTTTGTTTTCGGCATTTTTATTTGCACGAAACCTAATACCTTTCGCTGCTAAGCTGAGTTTTGCTGCATATTACGGTCATTCATAAACACCTCCAGTGCTGCCATACAAACACACACACACATGAAAGTATGATTACTATATTTTTTCATTGGCATACAGATTTTTTTTTATCTTTATCCTTATTCTAATATGTCAGTTGTGTGTTTGTGAAAACTAATATCGCAACAGTTGCCAGCAACTTTGGTTCCTCAGCCACAGCTGTATGCATATCCCTCAAACATTGCACCACACACTCCCCCGCTTTTAGTCTTAACCCCTTAAGTATTAACTAAACTCTTAAAAAAACTTAAAATGAATGCCAAAAGTACACATTTTAAAATGAAAAAAAAAAAAATCTTCAAACCTTTTGCCGGAAGTGTAGCGTGTAGCATCTCGAAATTTGTTATGCATGAAACTTGTTTGAAGTGTTCATAAAAAAGTTTTTGCACAACTACCTTTCGAAAGTGTGCGTTATATGCTCTTTATGCGCTGTACAACTACGCGTTGTTACTTTTACAGTTATGTTGCACTTTGGAAACATTGCGAATCCAGAACGGCAGATTAGCTTAAAGATAGTGGCTGGCGGCAAAAGCAGTTGAAATGAAATCGATTTTGCACTAAAATTAAATCTCCAGCAAAAATGTTGAAACTCATATTATCCTCGTTAAAGGCTTAGACGGCTGTAGTAAATTCATATTAACTGTAAATATCTACCTACCTCTCTTTCGCATATAAATTTGCAACGATTTTAATTTTCGCCATAATTGCGTTGTTGTTGTTTATTTGCTACGAGAAATTACAAAAGCGCTGCAAATGAGCGCGACTAAAGTTTTCATTTGCTTTAACTTACGCCTTGCTCTCCTGCATGCTTTTCGCGTCATCTTCAGCTTCATGTATAGTATGTATGTATATTATTTAAAATAAATTGCTATTAATTTCTTGCACTCGTAAACGCGAATTGTTAAAAAACAACACGAGTAACAGTGGCAATTGCACAGACACATGCGACCTTTTGACTGCCAGCCCTGACTAGAGCTGATGCTCTGTGGAGTTGATGGTCAGCACATTTATTTTACAGACTTTCGTCAGCAATAAATACCTTTACCTATACATACAAACATACATATGTGAATTCCATGTACATATTCAAACGTATGTATGTCAATTACTGCATACACACGGTGAGTAATAGCTCATGAGCAGCTCAGTAGTAGTCAATATAAATGAAAGGTGCATAAGGAAATATTTGTTTCATGTTTTTTTTGTTGCAAAAAAAAAAAATACAATAAACAGGGTGACCGCGAACGATTAACAACAAACGACTGGCGAAAATGTCCGCTCATTAAGGGGTACGTTGAACCCGTTGGTTCATTAGCGAGATTTTGTCTTTCGTTTATGGTGTTATTTATATACAGTTAGAAGGCCGAAAAAGTGATTTTTCCAGAATTTTTCTGAGAAAACTTTTAAATTCATTGGTCCAAAATTTTTTTAAATATTATGGTACGTTTTAATTGTTTTTTAAGACATAGTGCTAGTAAAAATATATATTTGGAATGGAACTACAGCTGATCTCCTCTCAAAAAAGACGTTTTGCGGTAAAAATTAACAAAAACCAAACAGATTTCGTTAAAGAGAGATTAAATCTAGTAAAGCTAATCGAAGAAGTAAATATTTTTTTATTACGAAATGGCGGCTTCTAAAAAAATCGTTTCCTGACCAAAATTTCGACCTTAAATGGTTTATTAAAAATATGTACCGGTTAGAAATTTGAGACTAATCGATTTAGCCGTTTTCGAGTAATGTTGGCGCAGACTTTGAAAACACCATTTGGAGAAAAACGCGTTAAAATTGTGTTTCCAAGCACTTCGAAACGGCTTTTCAAATTTGGGTGTTACCGCGAAAATATTCACCGGAACTATATGAATTTTTCTGTGTGTATTCTTAACTACATATGTATGTACATATGTATATGTACATTAACAAAATAAAATTAAAAAAATATTTTTTTGAAAATTCTAATTGTGATGATTTTTTTTTTTTTATTAATTTTTGATAAATAGTTTTGTTAACGCAAAAATATAATTTTTCATTTTTCATTGAAATAAGTGAAATTAAAAAAAATACAAATATTTATATAAGTTCATCCAAATACAAACTATTCCAAGGGCAGCCGTAATGGCTCACTGGGCATCTCAACTCAAGTGATTACTGTTTGAATATGCCACCTTGTGTATGTATTACACACAAATTCAGCTTTGCACTGCATATATGCATGTATGTATGTATGTATGCAATGGTAACACTCAGTGAAGCATTCAAACAATTGCACGCCTCTCCGTCGTTTTCATTGCGGCAGATATTTTCACCTAAAGTGCATGCAATTTTTCAATTTGATGCCATTCGGCAGTAACCGTTCTGCTCACTTCACACACTCGTAAGCGCTCAGCGCGCCAATGAGTAAATAACAGTGCCGTAACTTGCATGCAAATATTGCCACAAGAGCGCCCATGTATGCGTGTGTGTGAGTGCGTGCGAGTGGCTGGAGGTGCATGCAAATGAAATGTGGGCAAAAGTTGTTTACAACAACAATTCGCACACATAGCGGCGCTCATTTAAACGGCCGGCATTTAAACTGGCGAAAA